CCTGAAAAAATCAGACATAATTTCAGCATATTGAAACGCTTTGATTGATTATGTACCATCAACTTGGCTTGACTCTTAGTGATCACAAAGATACATTTTGACTAGAAGGATCTGTCCCCAACCTGATACTTCAGGTCTTCTAATGATGTACCTGTCACCACCATAACTGAGCCCATCCATCTTGATGCTGAAATTGAATAAATAAGGGGAGAATATACAGCCTTGTCTTACTCCTTTGCAGATCTGTTTTGCCATGTTGTATCCACACTCTGGCTTCCTGACCTGTGCGTACGTTTTGCATCAGGGTAATGAGATGTTCTGGGATTCCCATTTTTCTGAGCACTTTCCACAGCTTGACATGATCAAAACAACCAGAAGCCTCTCTATAACCAACGAAGCACATACATAAGACATGAAATGTATTTTTCTGCACAGATGAAATAAAGACAAACCTCAAAGCTTCTCTTAATTGAAGAAGAAATGAAAGGAAGGAAACAGTCTTTCGCCACTCAGATTCTTAACTGAATATAATTAATTCAATTCTTCAACCGCCCAAGCAGCTGGCATGGCTCGACTCAGCCTCCAGCTCCACTCTCCAAAGCAGCACCTCAGCCCAGCTGCTCGTGGCCACTGGAAACGGCACCCGCTGAATACACTGAGGTTGAAATTCCAGGCGATTAGAAGATGCATATTCTGTTTTTAAAAGACACCACGCATATAACAAAAGAAAAGAAACTTCTAGCCAGAGGATTTTATAACAGGGTCACCAGGCAGCCTGTCCATTTAACATTTTACCTTCATAAATTAAAAACAGTGTCATACCTAAACAGCTATAAGTGGGCAATTCACATGTCCTTTTATATGCTTTTATGTAGGAAGATGATCAAATCATCAAACAAATCCTTCTTTTAATAAGAGGACTTCAAAATGTTTAAGGCTGGCTGGCTGGCTGTGATCAGGGGAACTCCTTCTCTGGCACCATATGCAATCTGAGCTTATGGTTGCCACCACTTCTTCCATACACAGATATTTATGGTTCCCTTCTTCCAAATGCAATATCCGTTACTATGGGAATATTGACTATAAGGCACCAATAGGTTTACAACTGTGCTTTTACAAGTGATGACTTCAGCTTTGGCAGAAAACACACACGGTAGAGATAAGAATGAGTCATGATCTCAATCAGGTTGTAGGTAATCCTGAAGTTTAGATGCATCCAATAATCAGCCCACTTTACAAAGTGAACAGGATGTGACTATGCACTAATTCTTTTAAGTACTTTGTTGAGAGTAAGGAAGATGACCTTGAAGATATGCGGGCTCCATTACCGAAGCAATCAGAGGAGCAATGTCCACAACAGACAAATAAAATTTGGAAGAGGCACAGAGACACCTCCCTGATTCACAGGAGTATAAGAAGGGAGAAGAGGTTCAGCACAGACTTCCAAGCCACCGGAGGCTACGAAATAGGATCTGGATGCACTCAGGCACCAAGGAGATGCTGCCAAGATGAGGATCGGTCATCACATTCTTGACAGCCCTTCCAACAGCAGGGTGTCTGCAAGCTAAAGAGATATGGACTGCCCCACCCCTGTTGGCCCTCTGGAAGGCGGTGAAACCTGGTCTTCCCTCTGGCACTGGGGCCGAGCTGTTGACAGAGATTGGGTCTGGATGTGGTTTTGTTTATTGTGTTGATGATGTGATTTTAGGGGCCTTCTCCCAGTGCCTTTTTAAAGGACTTGGACAGTTGGGTTGGTGTTTTTATTTCTGTTTGCCAGTCAGCGTTCCCTGGCTAGATGGGTGGCTGTATAAATCTGTTAAATAAGTAAGTAAACATTACCATTTTCCCAGAAACTTTCCCCTGCAGCTTGAGTGGGAGAAAAATAAATAGTTTTTAACTATTTATTAAATACCTGCTCTTTAAAACTATTTATTAAATAGTTGCTCTTTAAAACTATTAAATAGTTTTAAAGAGCAACCACTGTGGTTACCGTCCTATTTGTGGGTGCAGAAAAGGCCACAACATAATATTCCCCTTAAGCTGGCACAGCTTCTGCCCAAGAGTTCCTGGCACTGCTGTAGACCGAGAATGCTTAAGAGGTCCCTGAAGAGTTCCCTGCAAAGAGGGAGCAACCCTAAAGCCGGTTTTAGTCTGTGTGATGGACCATATTTAAATCTGCATTTAATCTCTAGGCTTTGAAAATATCACATCATGGAAAAATGGAGGAGAGGGGAGCTCCCACCCGCAAAAGCAGCCATTGCTGCTCAGTGCGTTTCATGCTGGGTTCATCTTCAGTCTGAGTGAAACAGGTCCCTGAACCTTATTTGTAAAAACACAATCTTTAGTCCTGTTGGTTCAATGCACTAGGGATATACGGAATGCAAATCTGTTCATATACGGTGTGAAGTGTCTGAAAATTAGGTTTCTCGGTATTCCTGGGTAGAAGATATCCAGTGCCAATTTTCATGCTGCAGCTGGGCACTGGCACTGGAAGGTGTCGCAGCGAAAAATAGCAGCTTCATAGGGATGAGGTGATGGATACAGAGACAGGGAGTCAAGGCCCACTGCAGCAGTAGTTTAATAGTAGTAACAGTAGTAGGAATCGGAGGAAGCCTCTTGTCACATCTGCTGAATGCTGCACCAGTTAGGAGATATCTTGTTCCTGCTGAATCTCAGGCACCAGTAGTAGGTTTAGGACATGGAGGTTATCCCAGAACATCGTGAACGATCCCCAGGAGGGCACAGTCAATACATAAGGCTGCTGGAAGCTCTAAAGTAGTTAAGAAACTTGTAGCAGAGGTTTACTACAAAATACCATACATTACGAGCCATTTGTGACCTTGCAACGAATATGCGCCAGATGATCACAAGCAGAGTGGTGTTCAGTGCATAGTGAATGGTCCTTAGCCTGATAAAACAGAGAAGAGAAAGAAGGGGGGCTGAAATATCAGCGCCAGATGGTTCACAACACAAAACAGATCAACAACCTACTGAGAAGCACCCAAAGAGCTCTGAATTAATTTACTTTTAATTACACGTAGCTATCAATCAAATTCAGTTTTTTTCCTGGCTCTGCCTGCTTCTTTGTCCCGGACTGCTCTTCTTTTGGAGGAAAGACCCCAACACGTCACTGCAACCTATGTGTGGCTTTCAGCCCAAAGGTATTTCACACCCCTGCTTTGTAGTG